GAGAAGAGAGAGAGAGGGGGAGAGAGAGAGAGAGAGAGAGAGAGAGAGGGGAGAGAGAGAGAGAGGGAGAGAGAGGAGAGAGAGAGAGAGAGAGAGAGAGAGAGGAGAGAGAGAGAGGAGAGAGAGAGAGAGAAGAGAGAGAGAGAGAGAGAAGAGAGAGAGAGAGAGAGAGAAGAGAGGGAGAGAGAGAGAGAGAGAGAGAGAGAGAGAGAGAAGAGAGGAGAGAGAGAGAGAGAGAGAGAGAGAGAGAGAGAAGAGGAGAGAGAGAGAGAGAGAGAGAGAGAGAGAGGAGAGAGAGAGAGAGAGAGAGAGAGAGAGAGAGAGAGAGAGAGAGAGAGAGAGAGAGAGAGAGAGAGAGAGAGAGAGAGAGAGAGAGAGAGAGAGAGAGAGAGACAAAATTTTCATTATAACAGACAAGTTAACATCATAGTTTACCTCCTGCACATTATTGCAAAGAGAGTTTAAAATATCTTGGATACATGATAGTTTCTAAGTATCAGTTCAACTGCAGTCACCTTTCATAGACAAGAGAATGATTACTGAAACACACCTTTTTGACAGGTATTTTATTTGTTTTCTTATTATAACAACCCTGCTCATACATAATTCCAAAGATAGTTGTTAGTTTGATATAAACATACTCTATGGAATGATTCTATATATTGTGAATATGTGGATGGAAAGCAAAACCATGGAAGCAAGGGACATATATATATGTCTCATAAAAAGGCACAATTCCCTATATGAATATTTTTTTACATATTAAAAAATATAGACAAACAAGAATGTTGAAAAATACTTTTTACATTTGAGCAAAATCTATGAAAAAATGAAAAAATATATACTCAGCTCTCTTGTCAATTTGCATATATATATATTCATATCTAAAACCCATATGTTTAACTCCTCATTTCTCTCATATAATATTTTTTGTTTTGCAAAGACATCAGGTAACTTTGGAATGCATAACAATATTGTTTATGTTAGCCTTAATGTGTCTGATTGTCAGGCCACCATATGCACAAAATGCATAAAAATCATATTTTAATAGTACACTGACTTTGCTTCTCCAAAACTGACAGGTCAACCTAATGCAAAAGTGGAAACTTATTTCCTTACTTTTGAGACACAAGGAAGCCAAACCACCTATGCATCAAAATACAATAGGGTCAATGTATACATATTTATTTTAGCACCCCTCGGTTTCATATTGAAACATGAGAAAAGCCAGAAACAAAAATAAACACCTGAATCTGTAAAATGAGTATTCAACATTCTCACAGCATGACAAGTTCAGAAAAAGGTTTGATTAGCAGTACTGTTCCATTTTCTCTTAATAATTTCAAAAGAATACCTTGACTGATGAGCAATGATAATTATGCAGGATTCTTTATTATGCAATCACTTTGTTCCCAACCAACTCAATAAATTTTCCCTTGAAAGCAATCTGTAAAGAATGTTGATGCCATGGTACAGAAACCTGCTATACACAAACTATTGTTGTACCTTGAATTTTCCTGCCACTGTTAATATTTTCAAGATGATAAATCTTGTATCAGCATAACAAAGACCAGGTCAAAATCTGATCGCATGATATCACTCACTCTGTTGTAGCTATTGTATAGAGATATGCGCTTACAAACATTATTTTAAATTGTGTCAAATGCAAGGCATCCACATCTAAAAGCAGCAACAGTTATGCATCACCTCACATTAAAAAGAAACAGAAAACGAAGAAGACAACAACAATACACATGAGTACATAACCAACAATGATGGCTGAATTCCTCCTTCTTAACCACCCTAACTGATTTTTTGACATGACATCTAGTTCTGTTAATGGGTTTTGGTTGTTAAGCAGAAATCACCAAGTTGAAGCTATCCTCATCATGGGATAAAGTTCCTTTTCCTTGGGTCTGTTTCGCGCCGATCTGCAGTGATGCTTCCTGGACTGACAGTCTGGCGGCCTTGTGGACTTCATTCTCACATCTTGAGAAGTGGAAAGAAATTAGTTACATACATCATATGTGTGACAGGAGTTTCATTGGTGTTGATTTAGTTATGCACAAACAAATAGAAACATGTATATCTCCACCTTTCCCACACATACACATATAACAGCAACAACAAAAAAACACAATCCAACACTAACTGTTGTATGCGATTTGTTGTAATTTGTAAATCTCCCAGAAGATTGATGGTTGACTGAAGGTGGTTAGAGCGGGTCTCTAACAGGCTCTCCAAGTTTCTCAAAAGGGAAACTTGGTCGGTCAAGGCATCTGACAGGTGATCTGCATATAAAGCACATGGAAAAATAATTAGAACCATAATTCAGAATGTCTGCACAGATGTTATTTTTATTGGATTTTTCAAAACTTGAAAGAATGCACATAACATACAGATAAAGATGAAATTTGCATCTAAATCCAGTCTTTTAGTTTCTAGAAACTCATTGAAAAGCATATATGATAAAATTGCTTTTAACATGTAGAAAGCACTATATGCAAATAACTACACAAAGGAAATCTAATGAAAAAGAGTATAAGTGTAAGTGTACAAATTCTATTTTATGAATAATTGACAACTTTATAGTCTGAAAGAACATAATGACCAGGAGAATGAACATGCAGAAAGCAACACCTGGGAATACCAAAGTGGCAACAGTCATTTGACTGGCATTGCTCTGTGACAACCCTCCCCTCTTTCTGTCTGATTCCGTGTAAGTCATTCATCTTCCAGAAAATACATTTTAAGTTCAGCATATAGGTAGTTTGACCACAGTGTGCTTTTGAGAGTAACTCTTCAGTGCTAAATATATTGCACTATGATTTTTTCTGTCTATTCATGCCCTAATTATTACTGTTTGACAAATTATGGATTTGGTGAGCAAATGTACATTTTTTCATCCAAACTTGCAAGTCGGAAGAGTTGATTGAAGAATTACAAAACTTTGCAAACTGATTTTAAACAATGGACTACCTTAAGCAACAAAGTATTTTAAGGAGTTATTTTCATGTGAGTGAGTGCAACTATTGTAAACCGAAGTAAGTGAGATTATTGTAAACTGATATAACATCTATCTTATTTTGTGTAATTCTGGTGAAAGAGCTAATCACAATGCATCTATTACATTTCTTCCTTTGTGGTTCTTATCAATATATACCTTTTCTACATTCTTACCTCTGTACTGTTTGTGGTTCTCGGGTACATAGAGGTTATCCACCTTAACCTGGTGTAGAGATTTTTCTAAGTCTCTGCTCATTGTTTGCATGCTTTCCTCACTGGCTGGAAGGGCATCTAAGGAATGCAAACATGGAGGGAAACAAATAAAAAAAAATGGGATAAACTCTAATATAAAACATTTGGCTAATTATGCATGATCATTACTTTTTCATAAAAACTGACAGAAAATAAATATAATTTACAATAAAATAAATCAACTGCAGTAGCGACAAACATCCTACCGATGAGATTCTGAAGTAACTCTGTCTGGCTCTGACTGGCCTCTGTGACGTGCTGGAGGTGAGCAACTAATTCGGTCATCTGCCTGCGCTCACTCAGCTCATTCTGTTTCTCACTGATCAGCACCTCCAAGAACATTATTTGTGTCTGGAAGCAAGAGTATTAATATTACTATTTTTTCTTACTAATCCTCGTATTATGAAAAAGTACATTCAATTTCTTTTACTAATCTAAATGGGACAAAATGAAATAACATTTATGTAAAGTATATACATATATATCACTTAAAAGACCTCAGCTTCCTTGATCCGGTCTAGGAAAACATTCTTGCTGCAGAGATTCACTTGTGCCCATTCCATGTAACGCAGGTACTCCAACTCCAGTTCTTCTGCTGTTACTTCGTGTATACTGCAGTTATTACTGTCTTGCTGTCAGGTTTGAGAAAAATACCTTTAATGCATAGTTACATATATTGCTCTCTTGTCTGATCACATTTTCTTCTTTAAAACATGTCTGTATTACATATGGTGACACAGCTGGTCCTCCCTTGTAAAGCTAATTCAAAATTGCAAAATGCAAACTCAAAACAAACTTTATATGAAGAGATTTGACAATTCTTTTAAGGGAACATCTATTCAACTACATTCTTATCTCATTAAGAACTACATAGCTGAATATGTATTTTACTTACAGTGGAGTCTTTCTCGCTGATAGACGACAAAACAGTAGTGTCACCACTTCTGTTCTCGCTGCCCACACTGTCCAGTCTAATGGCAGATATGTCAGGGAGCTCAGGCAAGGTGGCGCATGTCAAATCTAGGTTACGACCACCTGGTGCCATGCCACCTACCAGTGTTGTGCTGTGGAATTTAAGTTAGGCGAGCTTAGAATCTCGGGTAAATTTACTGAAAGCCTGAAGATGAAATTCTATTGTGGAGAGATTGGAAATAGTTTGTATTCTTACGAATTATCAAAAATAATGCAAAACTTTACATCAGTCTGCCTTACCTAAAAACATTATCAGATCCTTCCTTGTGCGTCTTATCCGCGAGAACTGTGGCATTGAGGACTGTGGAATGCAGCTTGTGTTTGTTAGCTCGTGCAGCCATGGGCTTTGAAGGCCTCGTTATTCCTGTGGACCCTTGGCTTGCAAGATTAGTTGCTGACTGGCTGACCTGCGTACGTGGACTAGACTTATTTGTGGCACGGCTGGGCAAGACTCCTGCCTTTGCTATGTTTACTGTTGAGCGGCTGATCGGCCCACTTGCTGCTGGTGCCATGGATGCTCTGTTTACAGATTAGGGAGTTACTGTAAATATGTTGCCTATGGTCCTCTTTAAATCCCAATTATACAAGGAATTAATGATTATATCACCCAGAGTGTTCAAAAGAGAATCAATGACACTCTTCTATAGAGAAGTAGAGAAAATAAATATTTCTCAAAAATAAATCACTAAGACAAGAATGGAATTAGATATACAGGACCTAGTGCAATTCATCCTAATGCAACACAGGAAAAATAGAAATATATACAAGGCTTCATAACAAGATGGATGATTCTGCCAATTTCAGAATAGGGAACAGAAAGGAATGGGAAAAAAAAAAAAAAAAAAAAAAAAAAAAAAAAAAAGTGGGTCAGGATGGATGCTGTATTTCTAGAATACAAAAATCCATATTTCAGGCCGGTATGCTAATACATTATCACATACTAACAGAATACATTAATAACATCAATAAAAGAAGAGTCACACCCAGAGACCAAATACCCAATCAAGAGCACGTACCTGACTGGTCTCCCTTTGGTGGGTCCCTTGTTCCCGGCAACATTGGTTGAGGACCCACCAACAAGGGTGGTGTTCAGACAGTTGTTCCTACTACCAGGACTGTTGAGACTGCTGCTGTTGTTTGACCCATTCCTGCTGCCGTTGCTGCTGTTCCCACTGTTGTTCTTTGCCGCAGCTGCAGCCTTGAAGCGGGATTGAACCACTCGCATAGGGGGTTTCTTCTTGACCCTCTCGTTGCTGCAAGGAACAGGTATTACAACAAGGAAATTTTCATGATCCTATTCAGTGTCTTTCCTCTCATAAATGCCCTCTCTTTAGGGTACTCTCTTTTCTTCTCTAAGAATCAGAATCGGTATCTTCTTTACACTTGAAGATATTGTATACTGCTTTTTTTCAGTACTTTGATCATCTTAAAAGTTATTAGAAGGTTATTAGGAGGAAATGAAAAAAAAAAAAAAAAAAAATAATATATAATATATAAATAAATAAATAAAAAAATAAAAAAAATAAGCAGATTAAAAGAAATTAAAAAGATACATCAACATACTCAAAATATTATGAAGGAAAAGAAAATGAAAAATAAAGAAAAGCAAAGAGAAAAATCATCAATCAATCATCCTTGTACTTTTCCTAAAATCTATTTATCTACCATCCTTACTCTAACAGCCATTTTTTTTTCTTTTTTTTCAACTGATGAACTTTTAGCACAGTATTACCTCACACTGGTGGCATCTTTCTTCTTGGCTAAGCTGCCGCTCCCCAGCTTGTTAACAGCATTCACGTTTGGCTTTTTGCTGTTGTTTACATCCGACTTACTGCTGCTGCTGAGGTCTGACTTGCTGTTCCCGTTACTTATGTTGGACTTGTTGCTGTTGCTTTCACGCGACTGATTGCTATTGGCCAAGTCTGATTTGTTATTGCCGTTGCTAATGTCCGACTTCTTGTTGCTGTCTCCTGTGTCAGATTTATTGCTGTTGCTTATGTCAGATTTGCTGGAGAGGTCTGGGGCAGATGAGTCTGCAGAATCTGCATTTGAGATGAGATATATAACATAAGAACAAGACACATAAGGAGAAGCTAAGGAAAGCAGAGGAGGATGAGATAAAAGTGAAAATGTGAGGAAATGAAAGAGGTAGTAGATGAACTGTTGAGATAACTTGATGCAAAATTTAAGCATAAAGTATCATAATGCTGAAATATATGCAATAAACGTTCTTATGCATGCAAGGAAATGTATTTATTACCATACTAATACCAAAAACTGTCCATGCATGTCAGTTATATATTCCTAAAACTGAAGCCTTAAAACCAAATTACAAAACTACTCAAATAACAAATTCATCTTCCCTCTTGCCTGATGACACTCACCCCAAGCCCCTGACGTCCCTGCAGAGATGCCGTCCGCAGAGACCAGTGTCTGATCAGCATCCTCTTCCTGGGAGTTTGCAAGGAGGGCTGAATCCTCGCAGGTACTCATAGCGAAGAGTTATAAGCACTGTCAAGTCTAATGGCATGTGAAAAAAAAAAGTAAAAGGAATTCTGTAATATTATGTAATAAATATTCATAGTTGTCAATGGAAAAGTATGAATGTAATATCATTACATGAAGTAAAGAGAAGTAAAATAGAGACAATAAAAGAAAAATATTAAATATACTATATCGTATATGAGTATAATAATATAGAGATAAATCATTACATAGTCCTCTGCAAGAAAAAGGTACTGAGCTGCAAGTCAAATGGCCCATACAAATCCTGACTTTATATATCAGTCAGAATTTTAAAAACAAAACAGGTTGAATGCATACTACCATAAAAAAATGTGTATATTCATATCTAGCACAACCTTAGTACTGATCAAGTCTATAGTTTTTGGAAGCAAGTAATGTAAAATACTTCTCAGCAATATCATAGGCCTATAAGAATGAGATTTAGCCAAGACAATAAAAAACAGGGTTTTTAAAATATAATTGGATCTAAAATTGAAGAAAAGAAGAGAGAGAGAGAGAAATTACTATATTTCAATAGTCATAATCAAAAGTTCTATAATCCCATATGATGCCCGGGTGTTATGATGACAGCAAGTGGTATAGATAAAGCAATTAAAATCAAACTCAGCAGATTTTAAAGACAAATATTAGATAAATAGCTACATTTGTGTGTCACCATTACCCCAAACAACAAGCATTGTGGTCTCTGAATCTCTCAACGCTATGGCAGTGAATAACGAACACTCAACACACATCTGGTGTGAC